GGTGGTGGGACGCTGCTAACTTAGCTTTGGACATACAGAATTTTACAAGCCAGTAACAACCGCCCCCCACCGCCCATTGAGCCACCTGGGTTAAGTGAAAGGAGAGATGAGCTTTTAGGTTTTGGTCATCCAGATCTTGTGAAATGGCGCTAAACTGTTATATAATCCGCATAGACATTCACTATTTATTTTCATGTACATTGTTAACCGAATTGTAGAGTATAACTTTTTTTTTCGGGAATATTCATTATGCCCTTTTTTTTCATTATTTATTCCGGAAATTTAACTTTACGTATGTTATTGGGTAAACATTTGAAAAAGAACGCTATGGCGAATCACTGGTACACACTTCATCGCTAGGGGCGCCCAAATTCTGATTGAATTCTTATTCCCCTAATGAAATTTGTAGACCTTCCATTCGGTAAGATTATTTTACAAGGTCAGTGATTTATTTTAATACAGAATAGTACAATTAAATCAAAATCTGGATCGTATGAAAAATAAAACAACCCTCAAAATAAACGATAAATTAATTTAACTACTTAAATACTTTTTTTTTCTATACAGGACTTTGAATGATGAACCGAAAAATATTGGGTTTACTTTTTGTCGCGGCGATATTTGCGTCATTGCTTGCTAGTGCTGATGCCCAGCGGAGTAGAATTATGAAGAGAGAAGGCAGAAGAGAACCAGAAGACGAAGGGAGAAGGAGTAAAGACGAGGAAAATAGCATTGAAACTACAAAAAACAAAGACTATGAAAAAGAAAAAAATATAATGCGAAGAAAGAATCTGAAGGAACGAAAGAAACAAAAAAAGGAGAGAATATTCAAGATGAAAATGAAGGCGGAAAAACTGCTGACGAAAAACTGAAAGGTCAAAAGATCGTGAAAAGAAGCCATCGACCACCTCCAGGTAAATAAAGGCAAGTAAAGAAATAACATTTTTGTTCCATTTTCACAACTAAAATCAAATACTATCTGCTTCACAACCGAGTAGTGGCGCCTGGCTCAACGCAGTGCCCTCTTCATCTACCGGTACCCTTCTAGATGATGAGTGCACTCGAGTCGGAGTCGGGATCCGTCTTGGACTCAAATTATGTGAGCGTCACAGATGCAGATGTGGAGCCTCCATCGATGAGTTTGGTTTGCATCCTCTCTCCTGTCGTCGTAGTGCCAGCCGATTTCCATAGCTTTCAACCATCAACGACATCATTAAAAGAGGTTTAGATGCAGCTGGGTTCCCTTCCCAAATCGAACCCGTAGGCCTCGACTGAGGTGATGGAAAGCGGCCGGATGGCATTACCATTTTCCTTTTTAAAATGGGGAAGTCGTTGATGTGGGATGCGACCTGAGCGGATACATTTTCGGCCGGTAATTTGATCAGTTCCGCGGTTGAGTCGGGATCCGTCGCCCGGGACGCAGAGATGAAAAAAATAGTTAAATATTCTTCTCTTGCTGATAGATTTTTTTTTTACTCCTGTGGCAGTGGAGACTTCAGGGGTTATTGGTTATACTCGTTCGATGGCGCGATTGCGTCTCGATTAAGGGACGAGCCTCGCGAAACGGAGTGGCTCTTGCAGCGTGTCTCACTGGCGATGGTTTCGAGGTAATGTTTTCTCCATCATTGCAGCTGGCAGAGGATAGAAAAAAATGTTTATAGTTACTTTGTTCTGGAATTGTCATCAGTGGAATTAATGGATTTATTTTGACTATTTAGGTGTAGCACAGTGGTAAAGCACTCCGGGAAAAAAAAACATAGGTTTTCTTCTACAAAGCTGGACGTGGGTTCGATCTCTGCCGTAGAGAAAAATTTATTTATTAAGATTTCTCATATGTGCATATCAATACACGCTGTTTAAAAATAAAAATAGGGCCTCTATTTCAAATACGAGTATCCACTATAATAAAAAAATTTAGTAGTTTATATATATATATGTGTGCATGTGTTTTCGTGCGTGCATATGTATGTAGAAAATCAAGAAAACAGTGAAATATAAATATTTTTTGAATTTCTCAATCGATTTCTACGAAAGGAGAAAGTAAACAGTTCGTAATTTTAAAAATGGTTAGAATGAAAAGGAACAATTGTTGGATTTCCTTTTTTGATTCCATAAATTATTAGGATGTCTCAAAAGTGATGACATTTTCTTCGACTGCCATTTACATTCAAAAGAATGTGACATATCTTACAGTCATTTTCATTTATAAATTGTCTTATTTTCTTATTTTTTTATAGGCTGCAGCTATTTTTAGATGTCATCCAAATTGACTAAAAAGTCACTGAAAATTGTTTGGAATATCGACTAAATATATGCCACTGGATTATTTCCTCTAGATATCTTTCAACTTTTCAACTTCTGTTACAAAATTTGCTCACAAATATTTCAATTTGTTCCAACATTAATCAGTTGCAGAACAAACCAAGATTTGACATTAAGAGTTTGCCTTAGATTGTATACTAATATATACATACATAAATGAATAAATATATATATATATATATATATATATATATATATATATATATATATATATATAATACAACTATTCTTATGAAAAAATGCCACTTTGTTTATGTATATCCTAATAAAATAATTCCTAAAATGGAAAAAATGGCGTCTTCCCAAATTGAGGACTGCGAGCTGGATTTTCATTCTATACCTGGGAAAGATATATACCCAAAGAGAAAAGTCACCATGGACTTGTAGGCTGCTGAGGAGCAGATTTCAAGCCATTTGGATCCAAGCTAAAGAAAGCAGCCTTTCATTCGGCTTCTGTAAATGAACTGAATTTTGACTGCCGCTTTGACTGTATAGACTGACGTCACCAAGTGGCTGTCATGTAACCCATGTGACTTCTCCATGGAATGGCGATAAGCTTCTTCTGTATCCATACACTTCTATGCCCAATTTCCTCAACTCTTGCAAACTAATGTTCCTACACTTCTTACAGTAGCACTTTAATTTTTTAGAAATAATAGTTTACTTAATATTGTTTATTTTCAGTTTTCTTTTCTAAAAATGCTGAAAAGTGATTTTTTAGGCAGAAACTGTGACAAATAAAATAAGGTTCATGTATTTCACCTTCCCCACGATCTGAATGAGCAAGAATGGCGGTTAAAGGCCATATATCAAACTAATATGCTTGATAAACTGTCTATGAAACAGTGGTTAATCTAAGGACAAAAATGGTCCTAAAATCCATTATCAGTATTTGATCAATTATCATCTTGCCCTCAACTAAACCCAAGAACTACGAATAAAACTTCTGCTTCCATGTGAAATATGAAAAAGGAAGAATTAACACAATTTCTAGAAAAGACCAAAAGTTTTATTTTGAAAACTTTTGTCACAAATAATGATCTACAGAATTTTTTATCAGCCGTTACATAATATATAAACCGAACAGTCAACAGTTAATCCTTCTTCTTTATGTCTTATGTCCCCTCAGGACGTAGGCGATTATGGCTGTTCACAATTTCCTATCCTTTGTAGCTCTTAATAAATTTTGTCTTTCTGTTATTTCTCCTAACCCTGTTCTGCCATCCATTTACTTAAGCTCACTATGCATGTTATGTGCTGTTTTCTTCTGTCTCGCTTGCTTTCAATCTTTCCTGTGAGTATTAGATTTTCAAAGCTCTCTTTTTTCTCATTGTTGCCTTAGAAATTTCAAGTGTATCTTCCTGATATTAAGTATAAGTTTCCTTTTGTTTATATTTTCTCTCTTCGCTCCATGGTATATTTAGCATCCTTCTGTAGAACCACATTTCTGTTGTTTCATGTATCTTCTTCATCTTTGCGGAGACTGCCATACAGGAGGACAAATATCATGTAGTTTAGCGTGGAATCTACACTAGCTGAATTGAACAGAAACAAAGCGGCAGGGCCAGACAGAATTGTAATTGTTATGGGACCTTACCCATTATAACATAATGGACTATTCCATACGTAATAAATACTGCGCCTCAAGAGGAAGCATGGAGTTCACTCTGAAGTTTGGAGTGAGGTCCGTCAGGAGTCTGTCAGTCAGTCAGAGCGAGCGAGTCAGTCAGTCGAGTCAGAGACAGTCACGTTCAGACAATTACTGCTAAACCTGATTGTTCGTACTAACACTTTCTACTTCTCTGTATATATTCCTGTTTGTAATATATCTGTGTTATTCCATATACGTGTTCGAGTTCTTCTTTATTGGCTCTACCTTGGACTATCACCGTGGTACAAGGAACCGGACCATAACAGTAATATTGATGTGGTAGCAGTTAATACAGTCTGTTGATTAAACTAAACTTAAAATTTGAAGTTCAGATTCATTTTCTAGCGACGATGAATAACTTTCGAAAACAGTGATTTACTCTATAAGCTAAATAATATTATAATATAATTATATAGTTTAAGTTGGTGGACGAATGAGAATTCAAAATTTTTTATTAAGTGGGGGTTGATCTTTTTGACAAATCAAGACACAAGTATAATTTTAGGTGACAAAGTGAAAATCGGTTATGGTTAGACGTGCGTTTGAAGTTTCTATCTGTTGATACTGAGTTCCTTTTATGCGAACGTGTTATAACTGTCTGTTATTTAGGGTACACTACAGTACAATTGGCATTTTTTATTTATTTTTTTGTTTATTTTCTTATTTTGCAAAATACATGGAGATTTTCTTAAAGGGGTTTACAAATATGATTAAGTCATATTATTTATATTTATATTTTTACGTATAAAGATAAAAAATACTATATTTATTATATTTACTAATAAACTATACATGGTATTGTAAAATTAAATTTTTAAACTTATTTTATTTTGATCAAATAATAGATATCTTATTATGCAACATACTTGGATGACGATACGAAAGATGAGCCAGTTTTAATATGGAAGGAGTCCGTTGATGGCAAACTTGCAGGGCATGATCACTTCTGATGCTATTGAAAGCGGTTTTCATATCCAATTTTAATAAGATACGCAGATGATGTATTCTCGAAAAATGATCTTGTGGCATGAACTTCGACTTCACATCCGCCCTGTATGCCTACCCCGAGCTGGACAGGTCGCAATTCATACCCTACCTCCTTCACAACAACTCTACAAGCAATTTTTGCCGCGAGACGACGGAAAATGTTACCAACAGCGATAGGGCGGATATCTCCGTCTTTTTTTTTTTTTAAAGCCGTCAAGTTGGCTGAAAATATTAAGTCGCGAGCATGTTGGGGTATTTCAGCTCGGAGAAGGGTATTAATAAGAGCTGTTATAGATGTTTTCAAATGTTCATCAGCTTCGGCAGTGTACGCAGAAATTAAGTCCTTGATGTGACCAGGCCGAAGGCCGTCCACACCCCCACTGCTGCTTCCCGAGAAAGACTTCAGAGCGGCAACCATTGCTTCCTTTGAGATCTCTATATTTGAATCATCTGATGGTGGCGCAGGATGTTCCCGAGGGAGAGCTGTGAGAACTTCTGGTGTAGTAGCTAGTATAGTATCGGATGAGGCCAATCCTCTAACTGCAGCTAAGACATCACCCTCGATCAACTTAGCATTGACGAGGGCACGGAGTCTCTTAGAATCGTCGTCTGTAGATGAAGGATGAAATCTATTAGGATTAGAAAGGATGAAATCTATTAGGATTAGAAAATTCGGTGGCATTTATTTTAGATGAATTGAATAAAGTAATGTTACTTTTCATAATAGATGAGAGAAATGATGTAGGGTCCTTATTGTAAGGAATGCCGAGCACAAGTGTTGCGAAAGAGAAAAGGTGATCCCAGTCAAGCGATCTGTTCAAGTTAAATGCCTGATCTATAGCAGTAGCCAAGGCATCGGCTGCCGGGATTCTGACATATTTAGGGATTTTTAAAGGTACCTTCCGGAATTGCCCTCAAAACTTCACTGGCATCTATTTGGGTTGGTTCATTATGTTGATGAATCACACTATTTTGTAGAGCCGAGAGAGTTTATTTATTGTGCAAAATTCACAATTATGGCACAAGGCCAAAATGGGGAGGGGTTGAGGCTGGTCATTACTATCTTATACCTAGATAATCCTATTCACGACCCATTCATTCATTACAATTTCCACATTCACCACAAGAACTCGTCCGTCACCAATCAATCCTCCATACACCACAATACCTCATTTACTCCTTTACTAAGGAGACCTACAAAACGCGCTCCGTGACATAAAAATTTACTGATGCTAAAATATATATAAAATTCTATGGTGAAAAAATGAGATGGGAGGGAGATGAGCCCAATAACAAACTAAAATATGAACACAAATCAAATTAAGCATAATTGATGTTAGTAGGGCCCGTCCAACCCTCAAAACAGAGAGGCCGCTGTATTCTGCCCTTTGAACAAAATCAAGAGGCGCTCCCGCTAAGGGAGTGGGAAAAGGATAAAAAATCATACGGGCATGGGAAAATATAAAGCTGACCCAGTTGAGATAAAAAAGGGGGTTAAAAAACAAACTGGTGAGGTTGGGAATTTCAGGCTGGATCATAACCAAAAAATGGACAGGAACAGGCCTGGAATAACACTTACTCACATTAACTAGGTACACAAAAGCTTGTCTAACCTAACCAAGGGGAGGACTTCACAGGAAACCACCCTGATGTGACATAGGCTCGAGAAGAGATCAAAGCTAGCCCCGTTCAAACGAACCAAGCTCGCCTCTTGCACCCATCTTTCGCTGAAGACTGTCGAATGCAATCGTTTTCTATCAGTTCTAATCTTCATCTTGAGCTGATGCTCAAAGAATTGCATCAGATTCTGATGAGAAAGACGAGTGCCCCGCAAGACTTCCTCCTGTCGTGTCGTCCAACAGCGTGGCCAGCAGCGTCAGAAACACCATCCGTTTCACCCCGGAATACGGCGTATGCAGAAACCCTGGCTCGAGCCCCTGTGTAGGACCGGACTGCAGGCCCTGTCCCTCAGCCGGCGAAGGAGAGGCTCCAACGCCAAAGCATAAAGTAAGAGCGACAGTGGGCAACCCTGACGAACCGACCAAGACGGCGCAAAAGCGCTCGACAGCTTCCCGTTCACCTGTACCACAGCACTGGGGGAGCGATACAGGAGGCTAATCCAGCGGCAGAATTCGGGTGCGAATCCGGCGGCCTGCAGGACAGTAGCAAGGTAGCGATGGTCAACCCTATCAAATGCCTTGGACTGATCCAAATTGGCTTCTTCGTCGTCTTTTACACCCTCTATGATCGTGCGGATCAGATGCAGGTTGCTCTGAATTGTTCGGCCCTTCACGGAATAAGTCTGCCTTGGACCCAACAGAGACTCGGCAATTGACTGCAAACCCTCCTGCAGGAACTTGGCCAAAATCTTTAAATCTGTGTTTAGCAGAGTTATGGGCCTGTAATCGTCTAAGGGCCCCCCAACACCCTTGCCCTTTTTCAACAGCGGGATCACACCCCTGGAAAACCGGTCGGGAATGGACCCCTGTTGGAACCAGTTGTTGAACACTGGAGTCAAAATCGGGACAAAGATGTGCGACAGCCTCAAGTACAATTCATAGGGAAAATCATCCAGACCGGGCGACTTGCCTCTGCCGACCTTCTTCCATGCCGCGTATACCTCGCCCTCCGTGATCTCTCCCTCGCAGCTAACCGCTTCAGTCGGCGAAAGCCGAGGAAAGTCAGCTAAATAGCTGCGAAACTCGTCCTCACGAAGACCAGGCTTCCTGGTAAACCGGCTCTCTCAATGCCGCCGAAACACCTCGCACATGTCTTCAGTGGCCTGAAGAGTACGCCCATCCGGGGTTTCGACTTCACGAATATAACGATCGCCACCTCGACGGACCTCTTCCTTGCGCAATTCTGCGCCCATGTTCACAGCTTTGGAAGAGCCGAGAGAGACAGACAATGTGAAGAACTCCAAACAACCAGAGACGCTGAAGCATTTCTAGTCAATCCCACGCAAGATAGATGAAAAGACTGTTGACAATTTGAACAACTTCTGATTCTTTTACGCTTATTAATGCTGCCACAAGAAAAGCAACGATCACGTTCCAGCATAGAAGGAAGAGACATTTTTCTTCCCTCCTTTTTCCTAAAATTATTATAAAACTTTTTTCCGTTAATTCTTGTAATCTCCGTTTGACATTAATTTCATTTTTTCCTTTGAAATCAAATCTTCGAAAAAATACTGTCTTGAATTACAAATCCTTTACAATAATGTTTAAAGTTTCCAACTAATAATTCAATAATGATTATTCCATTTACTATTCAAATTCGTATTTAACTTACTTAATGCTTAATTCAACATTTTATATTCTTTTAAGAATCCGTTGAAATCACCAGAGCTTTGAAAAACACGTGTTCTCTCTTCGAATTTCAAGCGTTTGTTTATATGTTAAACACGTGGCAATGTTTATATTTTGAAATGCTACATCTTCAAACCGTAATTCTTCTCTCTATATATATCCTATATTACTATAATTTTGTCGCCATCATTTTTTTAACATTTGTGCAGAAATCAAGATTTTCAAAACGGTAAATTATTTCAAATATATATTATACTTATTTTAAAAAAAGCCTCATAGTTTAGATCTATCTATCTATCTATCCAAGTCTGTTCGTATCTATCTATCTATCTATCCCAGTCTGTTCGTATCTATCTATCTATCTATCTATCTATCTATCTATCTATCTACTCTCCTCATTTGCTGATATTGAACTCACGCTACTTGTGGAGGCTGAAATTTTCGTAATAGTTTGTTGACCTGATTAACTATATATATTATCAATGACGATTTTATCTTTCACTTTTAACTGAATGTATAGACTGTTTTATGTATAAGTATCTCTCCTAGATCACATACCTCAGCTACACCATGTCAATAACGCCACTGGTATTTTTTTACAGTAAGGTTCACCCTGTACAAGGCCCGGGGGCCACGAGGTAAAATGTTACCTTAGGGGGTAGGTTATATGGATAGGACGAAAAGATAACGGTTAGAGTTGATCAGGTTTGCTTGAGTGGAACTTACATCTATCCGATGTAATACGGAGGGAATATGGCGGGTTTGCTACTATGTAAGTGGCATGGCGGGTCCTGGGGGTGAAGGTTATATTAGGCGGAACCAAGGAATGTAGTTGGCCCGAGCACTTTCCATAGAAATAGCGATAGAACAGTGAGAGACTCACCAGATCCCGCCTGTGAGAGAAAGGTTGGAGGGTGGAAATACTTATTCCCTAACAAGGTCTTTGAGACGCTTTTGAATTCTATCAAGTCTGGAAAGTGGGGACCGGGTAGCCCCGCCTAAATATGGCACTAGCATTCCATTTTCGGCCTGATCTGGTTCTTATAAAGGTAGAAGATAGCATGAAGTGCCAGATATTTACTAGAGCTGTACAGGGAGTAAATCATTTTATCTGTATCTTTAGCGATGGATCGTATATACTAGTTCTACTTAGGATCGGTGTGAGTTTGAGGGTCAATATTCTCTCAAAGCAGTGTACCTCTTCGAGAGGACATCCGTCTATCGTGATTGGCGCTAGGTCGTGGTCTGTTCAGCGCTGATGGAATGTATTTATTTGATAAAATTTAACTAGTGGTATAGATCAGTGATTATTTGAACTCGAGCAATGTCTAGATCGTATAAGAAAAAATACGAAGTAAATACAAAGTCTGTTAACTTAAATGGTTAAATACTATTTTTTTTTCTTTTAAGGACCTTGAAAGATGAACCGACGAATATTGGGCTTACTTTTTGTCGCGCCTGTATTTGCGATACTGTTTATCAGTGACGCGGCAAGATTGAGAAGCCGTAGAACTGAGACGGAGGAACGCAGACGAGGAATAGAAGTTAAAGAGAAAGAGAGGAAAGATGAGGAAAAAGGCATTGAAAAAAGAGAGGATGAAAACGATGAAAAAGAAAGGATTAACAATAGAATAAAAGAAGTTGGAGGAACGGAAAAAAGAAAAGAAGGTGAGAATACGCCAAGAGAAGAAGATAGAAAAACTACTAAAGGAAATTGGAACGGTAGAATTGCCAAGAGAAAAGGTAATATCAAACAGATTTGGATGCTTCTGAATAAGAAAAGAAAGGCAAGTACAGAAAAAAATGAGATTTTGGTTACAATTTGTGAATTAGTCACTAATTATTTTTTAAAAAATATGACCGAAAATTGGGGAGGGTATTTGTTTGTTATAGTAGCACAATGCGTCGTATTATTCTACCTACATTTATATATATTACAGATTAGCACAACTGTTAAAAGGATGACCAAGTTTTTCGTATTTTGGCGTCATTCTGGGGTCTTATTTTTGCCCAAATTCGTAAATGTGTTTGCTCATACTAAGTCTCAAGAAAACACTATATAAAATTCAACTATCCAGAAGGTTGAATGTGTTAAAACTATTCAACTTTTATCAAAACAAATTTCAAGCTGACATTAAAAATTGCCACAAAACATTACTGATTTATTTAAAAAGGAATGATCTCTCATAACATGCTTCGAATAATTATTTAAATTGTATTTATTTATTTTCAATATTTCTACTTGAATTGTTCACATATCTTGCATATGATCTATTATTGTACATAAAATTTGTATTTTATAAGAATTCTACCTTAAAATTTGAGATGCAGTAGAGTGTGGGCCCCATAACATAGATTGTGAGGGTCCACGAGACCTGTGGGGCAAAATTTTATATGTGTCGGAGGACATATTTTCTATGAAATTTCTCGTACATTCAGGCCGGTAAATGTTGTTAATAGTCTTTATTATCGACTGGGCATTTACTTTAATATTTGTATCTTTAAAAATAAGATATCAACAGAAATTATATCAAAATAATTATCGGACAGTCCAGTCCATTTCAATATATATATATATATATATATATATATCCTGATGAAGTTATGGATTTTTATTTATTATTTATTAATCCGACAGATTTTATTACTTTAATAAATAATAGGGTTACAGGGAGTGAAAGGAAAGAGAAGACTGAGTATGGGGAAGATTGAGGACAAGACGAAAGATGAAAAAGTTCAAGAAAGAAGAAGATGGCGATTGACTTTAAATTTTTGAAGATTGTAGTTATCGGGGAAGCAAGAAAACGGAACAGAGTTCTACAGGTTAGAAGTGGGAGAAAATTGACTGTTGAGGTATAAGTGCTCGCTGCATTTTACTATTTCAGCAGTAAAACGTTGGGACTTAGTTGCCAATCTAATAGCACACTTAAATTTATGTAGTCGGTACACCATGTTTTTCCAGCATATTTAGCGATCGTATAAAGATGCTGGAAAAATGGTCGACTCCTTTAATCGCTCCAGAAATTGTTTGACTCCATCTGGCATATTCTATATTTACAAGAGTTAGATCAGAGCAAAAAGGGTGTATGTGCTGAAGTTTCCTAATCTTCACTTTCCAGCCTTGACAGAGTTCAAAATGTTTTACGCGGCATTGTGGGTGAATAGTTATTTCTCACCCTACAACGCATTTCCCCATAGACGAAATGTTGCTAGCCTCTCGCTATTTTCATGGCGGAGATTCAAGCGGGCTACATTCCTTAGTTTCAAACCAGATCAAAAACCTTTCCATTCATCTTCGTAGGATCCACCCAGACAGTTTCTTCCTAAGCCTGATATGTATTGTGAAAACCGAAAGGATACTTTTCCGATTACTACAATCTTAGAAACGGTGAACTCATTCCATTCATTTAGTATTCCATTCGTAGGGAATCGAGATGATGAAACTTCTATATTCACAAACTAGTTCCTATAATTATAAATATTAGTGTGATACCAATACAAAAGTTTCTTCCAATACTTGCCAGTGTAAAAACTTGCAGTACTGATATGTATTGAACAATTAAAACCGAACTTCGGATACTTTTTTTCATCTCCGATTTTCTGGCGGAGATTCAATCTTAGTTTTCACTTCAAACCTTCACAGTGAACCGACTATCTTCCTACCCATATTTTCTTCTAATATTCACTTCTTACAAATCTTCTTCTTTGAACCGTTATCTCCTATATATCCTTCTATTCAACCCTCATTTAGTAACCTCATTTAGTACCTTCTACCTGAGTGGCTCTTGAGCCTTGGATTGAGTGAACAGTAGGATATTAAAATAACCTCGATGTGATGAAACTTCTATATTCACAAACTAGTGAGAATGCAAGTTTCATATCTATAATTATAAATATTAGTGTGATGCTGAATATATTGTCAGAACCAATAAAAGGTTGGCGATTAAAATTGATCAATATTTGCTATTGAGGCCAGTGTAAAAACTTGCAGAAGCTTGTGAATGCTTCTATTTCAGTTATTGCAGAACAATTAATAAATGATACAATCTGAACTTCGTCATTCTACAGGGATTTTTCATCTTAAACAGTAAAGCGTATTCATATTACCATATAAGAATTCTTGCGGCAATTTTTATATAGTCGAATCAGCCTTCCCTTTGTAAACTAAAGGAATGTTTGTAATTTATACTCTTGATTTGCTGGTGTTCGTTTTTTCTTACTCTCTTTTCCTTTATTTTATTTTACTTTTTTTAGTCGTTGTGCACATATTTTTGTCCTCGATTGGCACTGAAGAGCTAGGATCGATTACTTTTTATCATTTTTTGCTGTTTCTTCATTTTTATATTTTTTGCGATCCACTAATTTTATGCTAAGTAATATTTTTGTTGTCTTTGTTTTTAGTCCCTTTGTTTTATGTTTTTTTAATATATTTAGATATGTCTTCAAAATGTCCATTTTTAAAACATTAATAAAATTATGTCGACCCAGCCAAGATTATTTAATTTTTTGTTGCCTACTGTAGCATACTACTTCAACTACATGTGTTGGTAAGTAAAAAGAAGCTTCTACAAAAACATTCGCTGCAACGACTGGTCTTTTGACTATCGGTTTTGCACTTAATTTTGTTTTTATTTCATTTATGCAGCATTGTCCCTTTCACTAAAAGTTACTCGCATTCTTTTTCGGTCATTGTAAAACCGCATGTGCTCGATAGGACCTAAATTATTTCCACATAATATCTCTATGTACAATTAAAAACGACGATGTGACTTCCCTCTGTCTTTTCTACAAATATTTTCATGATCTTGTTTTTCTGGTAACCCGGCTATATGAATTTAAGCGTGCTACTAGATTGGCAACTAGATCAAACCGTTTTACTGTTGAATTAGCTAAATGCAACCGCCACTGCTGTAACAGTTTTTTTTTTCTCGCAAGTCGCACCTGTGGAACTCTCTTCCGATTGTTGTGTCCCTGATAACTATAAACTTCAAAAATTTAAAGGCAACGTCATTCGCCATTTTCTGTCTTCTTGAACCCTGTTTCTTTTTTTTTTTAATTTTTTCTCGTTTCTACCCATTTTCTCATTCTCCTTCACTTTCACTCCCTGTAACTCCACTGCCTTCTAGTGGTATGGTCGCCTTGCTCGGGGTGAAACGATTAAAATCATTTATCTATCTATCTATCTATCTATCTATCTATCTATCTATCTATCTATCTATCTATCTAAATATAATCCTATCCATCTAAATCATTTTAATTCTATCTATCGATCTGAATCTTTTTTATTCAATCTATCTATCTATCTAATTTTTTTTAATTCTATCTATGTATCTATCACAACCTTTTAAATTCTATCTATCTATCTCAATATAATTCTATCTATCTAAATCATTTTAATTCTATCTATCGATCTGAATCTTTTTAATTCAATCTATCTATCTAAATCTTTTTTAATTCAATCTATGTATCTATCTCAGTCTTTTAAATTCTATCTATCTATCTATCTATCTATCTATCTATCTATCTATCTATCTATCTATCTATCTATCCTTTTTCCTTTGCAGCGGCCGAGGAGAACCAAAGAAACTATGACAAAGTAAAAAAAAATTGGCCTGAATTTTTGAATTCGGAGAAGTGTTTTCGAAAATGCTATCAGATCAACGGAAGCATGCTTGTAAAACCGAAAGTCTTCAGAAGACAAAATAAAAAAAAATAGTTGGCAAGAAAAGCGTTTTCGATTCTTTCATTAAGTTACACTTTCTGACAATTGTTGATTGACTAATATATATTTCTTCAAGTTTATCTCATCTATAATTACAAATATCTGTAAAATCAATAGTAATAGTAATATTGAATGTATTGCGAGGTTAGCTACTTAGGTTTTGTATTGGGTGAATATTAGTAAAAAAAGAAATAAATAAGAAAGAGCTATTATTCATTAGCCTAGATTTTTCTTAGGCAGTACTATGAAAAAGAATCTTTCAACATGTTGTCATTGTCCTATATTCATTTTATTATTTCAGCGAACTTGTTGATTAAAAATCCTCTAAGGCTAGGAAAATTTCCATTCCAATTCCACATTGAACCCGCCGCTTTGTTCCTGTTTTTCTTTTACGGTACTGATCTCACCTCAGACTAATATTTCTACTCATTCCGTATTTTTCTATATTTGCGGAGTTTGTATCTTGTGTATTTACCAGAAGTCATATAGAGAGAGTGGAGAAAAGAAATAAACAAGTCATATATAGAGCGTTAGGAAAAGAAAGATGTAAATTTATTATCGTGTAGGAAGTGGGGAATGGAGCTGATTTACTTACGCGAAAGTGTATAAAACACACGAAATCCTGCCCCAAACAGAATACGCACAACTGTCATCAAGCTCGCTCGTGAACTTCACGGTCTCATGCTAAAAGTGATAGCTCTGACAAACTTCAAAAAGACCGCTTCAGACTACGGCAACACCATCCACAACAAGAATAAAATTCTATCTCTTGTATCCTCCTTACTATGAACCACGCACACATGTGTTGACTTTTTCACACAAACACACGTATAACAACATTTCTTTGTTTCTCACATACGTACACAAAGGGAATTTATATTTTATGTCAGAATTTTATTAACCCAAACAAAAAGACATTACTTTCCAATCTATGACCAATTGCTTGTATTCTTGTTATATTAAATTAATGTTCATTTATTGAAACTACGTTGTCTTTTCTACTGAATTTTATTCTTTCAATGAAAATCGTTTGTTTATTCTAAACGACCGAATTACGCGCAGACCAGCAACAATATTTTATGTTATTGTATCGAATCCCAAACACTTTGAATTTTGACATTCCAAGCTCTTATTTTTCAACTTTCTTCAAACAGACAATTTTTTTTTTAATATTGAAAGCAACTTCAATAACTACAAATCAATGTAATTTTGAAATATCTCTGCTTTCACAAACTCACATGTAACTAAATGTAAACAGTAAACAAAACAAGGATGACAGAACGGGTCACAAGTAAAATAATAAATATATATGAATTCGTCCCAAACCGTAACAAAAGACAAATCTCAAACGTCGTTCCATGTACGAAAGTCCAATGATAAAAAATGCCATATCGGTTTATATTTCTGAGATAAAGTATTGTAACTATTTACATTGTTCGGACTGTCGTGCGCTCAGGCCTTCTTCAGGTAATATTCCCTAACTGAATATAAGCAGTATATCGCCCGGCGCACCAAATTAACTAAAATTGAAATATCCAGAAAAGGCATGGCACGTAGGATTAGAACAATTTAGCCCTATGGAGTAAATAAAGGATTCAGTTCGAAATTCCAACGTATATCACCTGAAGAAGGGCCGGAGCGGACAACAGCCGAAACGTTGTGAATATGACAATAAAGATGAGGACAACAATCCGAACATTACAAAGGGTGTAAACAAAAAAAGCAATAAATAAAAGGCTAGAAAGAACGAGTTTTTTTTTGTTTTAGTGACCAGCGCTTGATTACCATTGTTCGAGATGCTTTAGTTTGGACACAAGACTATAAGCAAGGGACAGTCTCGTGAAGATCGAAATCTGTACTCTAAAAATAGGCGAGACTATCTCCTAAACCACTGTCTCTGTCGAGGCGTTCTAGACAGGATTTGATATGGTAGAGCAGATGTTACCACTTTTCACTTGTTCGAATTTCCAATAATATTGAATTGAAAATTGTCAAATCTTATAATTTAAACAAGTGAAATGTCGATTAGTTTGGAATCTGTAAATATTTATATTTGATGAAAAAATCCTCATTGGGTTTATTACGTTTGCGTATTTACGAAAGTTCGTCACGTCGGAAAGGTACGGTAGCCATTTTGTTTTTCAAATTGTTTATATCTATTTTGTTTTATGTAACAATCTATCTATCTATCTATCTATCTATCTATCTATCTATTATAGTGTCACAATTGAAATGACGCATTTTTTGATCCGGTCGTCTAACGATGTAATCTCCTTAGTATATATTTAAAAAATCTTGACATATTCATGACTTTTTTTCTTTCCAGATAATTTTTCTTTCAATAATTTGTTACTTATAAGCCCAATGAAAATGGTTACAATTAAACAATGTCGATTAATGTGTATTTACGACAGTTCGTCACGTCAGAAAGGTACGGCAGCCATTTATTTATCAAATTATTTATCTCTATTTTGTTCTGAGTAACAATCTATCTATCTATCTATCTATCTATTGTCAGAATTAAAATGACGCATTTTTGATCCGGTCGTCTAACGATGTAACCTCCTTAGTATAATATTGACTTATTCCTGACTCTTTTTCTTTTCAGGTAATTTTTCTTTCAATAATTTGTTACTTAAAAGCCTAGTGAAAATGATTACAATTAAACAATGCCGATAAATGTTACTGTATGAGTACAAACTGGGAAAAAAGTACCATTTTTTAATCAAATCATTACATGTGATTAGAAAGGGATCTTCTTTGACAAAAGTAAGAGAGTAGGCCAGTGGTTAGATGCAAGTGAATATCACCAAAACAATACCCAAAATTTCCACTGCGCCCTAAAATGTTAATATTTACTGTATAGTGGATATTCAAATGGGTTATTCATTATTCATTCTTGCATCAAAGGAAAACACTAACTGTAACGTCGTGTTGTGGAGAAATTGAGTGTATGCACGAAAAATTGAAATAGAAACATCTCAGACATGTGAATAGGAATAGCCCAATTTTGCTGCACAACTCACAGCTGCCCGCTTCTCAATCATTTGTCTAAGTGCTGCATAGCCTAAATAATGAAATTTTGCCTCATCCTCCATATACACTTGATTATCACTTATTTGAGCTTCGCATACGCAATAAACATTCTCTAATAAGGAGGTGATAATTTTTGAGTATCAAAAAGTATTTGAACTGTTTATCACATCAAAGAAAGAACTTTTTTTAAAAGATAGGATAAATAATTAAAAGGTACGTTGGCGAACAGTCATTTATCAACATGGTTCCTATTTCAACTAAATAAATTACATTTTATTCATTTCCTCTAAAGTGCGTCATTTCATGTATGACAACCTAATATCTATCTAAAGTTGTTGATATGTATATATGCATCGATCTCAGCAATTAAAACCCATGTAGGTATATATGGTGCAGTCCATATATTTTATAAGGAGTATTATTTAATAAAAATGATAAAAAACAAATTTTGCATTTAAGATAAGCAGAATTTATGGTTTATATCATAAAAAACGGGAATTAAAGGTATTATTCTATATGTAAAATGGACGGGGGTTAATTATATTTTTTTTTAATTTTGTATTAAAATAAACAGACCTAAAACTATAAAAAGATTTTAAATTATATATGTTTGACATAAGATCAGTAAACTGAAGAAAAATAAAATAAGGAAAGGTTATAATCTACAGTAGAAATTAATCTGGATTCAACAGGTATTTAGTTTTATGCCTGCATGTGAACATCAATTCATTTATCTTGTTTAATAAGTTAGGCTTTTTTAAGTGTTTTAAGAGCGTTGATTTTTCTTCAGGGCATAAATTACATCTATCGCCTTTCCCGTTGTAAGATTTGATTTTAGCTACAATATCCCACCATTGTTTAATTGATAGAAATGGAGAGAGCAGTGCTATTCACCTATCTTACAGTGCCTAAATTAATTTGACATACATTGGCTATTTAAGTGACAGATCGTATTTTATGGCAGCTGCATTTATTTTTTTCTAAATTAATTAACGTTGTTACTTTTGCTGGAGATATATTTATTTGGTATAATATTGTTATGCGAGGATATGGATTTTTATGTTTATTTTAAATATAAAATAAAAACCCCGTCTATTTATATATATATATATATATATATATATATATATATATATATATATATATATATATATATATTACTTATTATAAAACGCAGTGTGTGTGTGTGTGTGTGTGTGTGTGTGTCTGTAACGTTTATATATTGGATCGAATTTCCAACATTTTTTAGCCGATTTCAACAAAACTTCACAGGACTACATAAAATTAACTTGTGATGGTTCTAACGGCGCCGAAAATGGGGGAAAAAAATTGTTTTTTAAGAAAATCAATTTGAAAACACGATTAAGACATATCGTGAGAATGAAAGGGGGATAACTCACCCACGAAAATGTAAACAAAAGAGCATAGCATGATGAAAAAAAGCCGAACTTGAAAACAAAATTTTATCGTCTAATGTTCATATTATTATTAAAGAGGAAAGATCAAAGTATTTTTGGGGTATTTTTTTTTGTTTTTAATCGTTCCTAGCACGTCTGAAATTTTCGTTAAAAATATTGTTTTTTTTTTTCAAAAAAAGGACAGATAATCAATCATTTTCAATCATTTTTTGATTTGATAAAAAGATTAAAATCTGACTTTGATATTTTTTAAAAATCAATTATCATTTTTTCAAAACTGATTTTAATAAAACAGAAATTATACTGTTTATTTAAAATATTTTGAACCAAGCTTAACTTAGGTTTTGCGCCGAAAAATGTAATTTGAAAATAAAACAAACCTTTCGCGTCGCTTGACGATTGACGAAAGGCACATTCATGACTTTTAGATAACTTACGGAGGATAATTCTTTCTACGGATGGAAGGAAGTGAAATTATTTAAGTGAACAAATTATTTACCTCGTTACTTTTATGGAAATATTTTCAGCGCTCTAATTTTTTTAAATTTTTTTTTTGTACTTAGCTTTCATTTTTACGTTTACGGTGCTTTATGGAAAATATAAAAGAATTAAAAAATAAGACTGTTAATAGTGAGATTAAATTTCATAAGAAAAAGGTATCTAATTAATTTAGGTACCTTTCTTATGAAATTTATCAGAAGTGTACATAAAATACTATAATTTTATGTACATTTATTACATTTACTGTGTTATTTGTATTTCCATTCATTTTATTATTAATTTTGATATTTCATTTATGGAAAAATGTCATAACTGAGATTAATATAAAAATAAGATCATATCAATTAGTTTAGCAGTAGTTAAATTTCATAAGATGATACTGTTACTTGTAGGTACCCTTCTCAGTTGAAATTGAAAACTCGAATTAACTTCTCCATATGTGTTTCGCAAAAGTAAAGGGCTTAACAGCGGAGAACAATGCTGAACTCAAATAATGCAACTAAATTGTATTCTGGTTGGTCTTCCGTACTTGATAATTACTGTCCGACTATAAACACAAAAAATCACATTTCTTAATTACCATGGCTAATCTGATTGGTCCAAATTATACAATTTTCAAAGCGCTAGACAATGACAATCTCACACGGACATTTTGAAAGGTTGATGTTGCTTTTAACTAATGTTAAAATATTTTTTAAAATTCAATTTAAAATTTTTTAAAAATCTTTTAAAATTAAAGAAATAAGAAATAATTGTATTAAAAATTCAATTTTCGTTGAAAAAATTTTTTGCTTTCAGAAAATATTGTCCATATTCATAAAAACAAATTAAAACAAATAAAAGCATCTGAAACTAAATAATATATTTGTTTTATTGAGTTTTGTATGTTACAATTCACAGCTGATTTTCAGGCACGTTGGCCAAAAAACAAAAACAAAAAAAAAACATGATTTGCATTCTTCAAAGCCTTGTGCTTTTAACTATTGTAATCACTAAAACTAGAGTTTTCATAAAATTAGTTATGGGGGTGTTAATAAATATAAAAAAAAATATTTCTGCCATGACTTTAATAAAAAAAACATATTTATAATAATTTTGATCATCTGTGAATAGTTTCTGAAAGTTTCATTAACATCTGACAATTATTTTTATTTTTACAAGATTTTCCAAATTAATGTGTGTAAATACAAAAAAACGCGCTAAAAAAACTATCTATGTTATTTACTACCCTTGTTGCAAACAAAGAGAAACAAGGTTTTTTAAATCAAAATTTAGAATATTCTAAAAAGATGGAAAATTTTTTAAAATAATTAAAAAAAATTTAGTCTATCCTCTTCATAAAATCATAAGCATTTTGACGATAAAATTTTGTTTTCATAAACTTTGGCCTCTTTTTTCATCAGACTATGCTCTCTGTTTTAGCGATTCCGTGGAGTGACTTAGGTTAAAAACCCAGGTTGTGTGTGTGTGTGTTCCTTTATATATGGGATCCTTTATTTCTTACATTTTTCAGCCGATAAAACAAACATCCACTTTTTTTTTGGCAGGTAGTATTTCTTATTGTCTTGCACACTTTTTTTTATTTATTTATACATTCAGAATGCTTTAAAAATTCTATTTACAAGACAATTGTTTATAATAAAATTCTAATTCTATTCAATCAGGGACTCATCATAACGATATTGAAAACAATGTTTTTTTTTTGAGTTTGACCAATTCGTAAAAAAACCAAAAAAACTAAGACATGCGTGTCCGTCAACCTAAACAATAATCTAACGATCTCTACTGATTGTACGAATCGAAAAATCGGATAATTCTTTATCTTTAGGAAAGATAATTCCACGTACTTTTTAGGGCCGTTTTTACAATTCCATTTGCAATTTGTTACAAGGCAGATCAATAAGGCATTGGTTCTATTTGAAATTAATTCAATATTTAAAAGAAAGTATTAAGAAATAATTTAAAAATGCCAACGTAAGAAATCTGATAGACAAAAAACAACAATATTTCGAAGATGATAATTATTAAGGAAAAGAACACAGTACTTGTAATAAATTAATAAACCCAAATAAAGTTAATATTTTTTGTATTAGAAATAACGAGTGGAAAATATATTCAAATCAGAATTCTAATTATGAATCACCACAAGCAAAATATGCAATTTTTTTACTGTATTCAATAAGTAAAAATCATAAATTGTAAAAGATTACAGAGAAAGGCTACCTACATTTTTCAACCGATTTCAACAAAACTTCACTTTTTTTTTGCAGGTAGTGTTTCTTATTGTCTTGCACATTTTTTTCTTTATTTTTACATTCAGAATGCTTTAAAAATTCCATTTACAAGACAATTGTTTATAATAAAATTCTATTCACCAATCGATAGACTCATAACGATTGTAAACAATGTTTTTGTTTGAATTTGGGTTTGACCAATTCGTAAAAAAAAACCCCCAAAAAACAAGAAAACTAATTAACACATGCGTGTCCGTCAACCTTAAACAATAATCTTTGTCAATTTTATTTTTCAGTCTTTATGATGGTCGATACTTGATCTAT